AAAAAGACAGGATCAAGAAAATGATGGATTAGATAAGCCATTGTTCGCTCTTTCGTGGTATGAAGTGCCATGTAAGGGTAAAATATATATATAATTGGCCTGGCGCAGTGGCTCATGCCCATAATCCCAGCACTTTGGGAGGCCAAGGCAGGATCACCTGAGGTCAGGAGTTCAAGACCAGCCTGGCCAACATAGCGAAAACCCATGTCCACTAAAAACTACAAAAGTTAGCCGGGCATGGTGGCGGGCACCTGTAATCCCAGCTACTCAAGAGGCTGAGGCAGGGAGAATTGCTTGAACCTGGGAAGTGGAGGTTGCAGTGAGCTGAGATTGTGCCACTGCACTCCAGGTTGGGTGACAGAGCAAGACTCCATTTCAAATATATATATCTATGTATATATTTCATTCACATATATATATTTCATTCATATATATATTTCATTCATATATATATTTCATTCATATATATACATATATATTTCATTCATCCGGTAAGTGGAATGAAACGAAGGAAGTTTGCTTATGCAGATGACAGAGTGTCAGGGAAAAAGCCGACTCAGCACAGGTTGAGAGACCTGGAAAACATCAAAGAGGCAACCACATAAATAAGGGACACAATAGTAAAAATGATGAACTGGAACAAAAGTCCATTAAATAATGAAAGCATCACAGAATTAAATGGTAATGAGCAGGCACAGACCAGACTGCTAAGAAACCTAGGAGCAGACATGCAGGAATGATGAGGGAAACAGACTACGGGCATTGTTACACGTGGGAGATTTGCAACTTCAGTGAAAAGACAGGATGAGGCTGGTAAAAACAGATCTGCTTCCAATTTTTTCTGTGTGTTCATTATATATAGCTTGGGCTAGTAGAATGCATCATCTTGTCGATAAAGAACTTTTTATTAATGGCCTCAGCAAATAGCAGGGGCCAAAGAGTCTGAAAAAGAGCTCATTATTTATGACTAGATAGAAGAAGAAGAGCTAGGTGTGTTCAATACGGAATTACTTTCCAGTTGGAAGTCAACCAGTTGGAATTTTTGCATTTCAGTGGGTCGGAAGGAATAAGAAAGCTACATCCACAAGAAAGTTTCAAATGCCATATGCTTCAATGATAGTAGGGAGGGGATTTTTCTCTGAAGAGAACTTTCCCTAACGTGGAAAGGCACAATTTGAGAAAGGGCAAAGAACATCGAAGAGGGTAGGATGAAGGCCAAGCACTTTGAAATGAAAAGTAAGGTATAATTTTGAGGCCAGATTGCTACAAAAGGGGGAAAATAACAATTAGGGGTCTTGTTAAAAAGAAAGGAGGAGGCCAGGCATGGTGGCTCACGCCTGTAATCCCAGCACTTTGGGAGGCCGAGGAGGGCGGATCACTAGGTCAGGAGATCGAGACCATCCTGGCTAACACGGTGAAGCCCCATCTCTACTAAAAATACAAAAAATTAGCCGGGCATGGTGGCGGACGCCTGTAGTCCCAGCTACTTGGGAGGCTGAGGCAGGAGAATGGCCTGAACCCAGGAGGCGGAGCTTGCAGTGAGCCGAGATCACATAACTGCACTCCAGCCTGGGCGACAGAGCAAGACTCTGTCTCAAAAAAAAAAAAAAAAAAAAAAAGAAGAAGAAGAAGAAAAGAAAAGAATAATAAAAAATATGTAAAATAGTTTTTGACATAAGGTACAGGAAAAAATTGAAGAGTAAAAGTTTACTCAGATGAGGAAAAAAGTAAAATCAAGAAGGGTAGAAAGAAAGATGATGAAAAGACTTTTGTAAGTAATTCAGCTGAGGGGAAATATGGGGTTTGCCCAAGATGGGAATGAGTTGCAATAGACCATATAAACTTTTTTTGTTAATCTAGAAAGGAAAAAGAAAAAAAAAAAAAAAACTATTCAAGTCTAAAGTCGATACCCTCTTTGATATAAACATGCTTTGAACCATTCTGTATAAAGGTAAGGTATTACTATTATAGGATATTTAGTTGGACTTTGTATAATGAAGAACAACTGACCTGGAATTTAGGAGTAAGATCAAGTCATCTGAAATAAAAATTAGGTTTGGCTATAAAGGTATCAGTTGATAACACTTAATCAAAAACTCTTGTTGCCTCTGAAAAATGGCAGTGAAATGACTATAAAGCTTCTTTGCTTCCAACAGTTTGCTGGTTGACCAGCTGTTGCAGGCCTGAAATAAAGAAATCTGAGCTTAGATAAGGCTTTCTGGAAAAACAAGTGGGAGAAAAATGCCACTGCCCAGACCAGAGGCAGATAACCTTTCAGGAGTGGAAGGCCACACATTACTGCCCTTGGTTCTTCAGGTCCGTAGTGAGGGGTTGGGATACTGAAAGCCAGGTAAGCATCCTTTCAACACCATGCACATCTCCTATGTCAAACATGCTCCATCCTTTCAGATTCAGTTCCATCCATCTTCCTTTGGGCCTTTTTTTTTTCCTAATGTAAATCCTCTTGGGGAAAGTGAAGCCTATTTCACTTTCATCTCTCTAGGTGTCTATATCAGATATTCAGACTGTTTTTCCTAGGGCTGAAGCTGAGATCAAGTGCCCTAGGTGGGCTGCAGTTTTTTCCTGGGAATCTGAAGTAGGAAATGGACATCCTCAGCTATGGTACATCTCAAGAGAGGGAAGAATCAGATGCCAAAGATCACTAGCCACAGGCAGGATGTGGCAGAAGTCACCGGAAAGTGAGAGAAGCATGGAGGTAGAAGATGGAAGGGGAAAAGACCTTTATTTCTATTTGCAATGAAACCAAACTCCCCTTGGGGTGTGGGGGAACACTCTAGGTTTATTATAAAATGGCTTTGGGAGAGACCCAGTGGTCAACGTAGAGACTAGACAGTTACACAAAAGCCCTCTTAGGAATAATCAAAGTTAGCAGCAAGTTCAAAATCTAGCGTAGTCATGGATCTTCCAGGCAGAGCTAATGAAGGACACCAGATCTCATCCTGTCTGATCCCTCAAAAGTAACTAAAATGTCATACCCAGACATTTTAGAGAAAAAAGGACACACAGCAGAATGTGTGCTGCCCATTCAGTGTTCCCTTTTATTTTCACAGGAAAACTAGAGGACAGGAAGTTGTTGAGCATATTGTTATTAAAAGAATACAACCAACATTTGGAAATTAAACTAAAAAAAAATGGGCTATAGCCTAAAACATACTAACATTTTCTAATATCCCACAATGGAACCATATATTAGAAACAATTTCTATTTTCAGTTTTATTTCCTCCTGGCGTAACTAAAATTTACTATTTTATGACTTCGTATGTGATGTTGCACTGCCTCATAATTTCCCCAAATTCACCCTTTTTCAAGCTTTTAAAGAAAGGCCTGCCATTTCAACATTCCATTATGTAGCAAACAGATTTATAATTTTCCTATCCATGTTCTTCTTCCGTATATTAGAGACTCAGTGCAAATCTGTTTGCATGTTGATGAAGATATTTCAAGGACCACAAATTCTACAATAACACCAGTGCCTCACCAACAGGGCTTGGGGTTGGGTTTTTAAAATTCCACTCTCCTTCAGTGATTGTAGGATACAATAGGAGAATAAGCAGGGACCCCTTTTTTTTTTCTGCACCAAGACTTATATTGGAATGAATCCCAGCAACACTTTTCTTGTGTTTGAGAACCATACATTTTTCTATTCTCTGATTCTATCGAAATTATGCACAAAGTTCTGGGGTTTCTAGGATATGAGGCAATAGGAATTTGCTTTCCTTTGCTATTATTCAGCAACTCAAGGCTATTTGTAACCATAGCACATCCATCTGAATTTAGCTGTTTAACAGAAATGGAGATATTTACTTGTCTCTCTAGGCACTTTGGTTTTGTCAGGTGACAAGAGATACAGTCACGGCCGTGTTGTGGAGGCAAATAGAAACTGCAAGGCTTGAACTTGAAAGAGCCTTTAGAAGTGTTTTATGGGAATGTTATTCTCCACCTGAAGCTGACTGATTCCATTTCTCACAATTGCAATTATCCATTTGTTGCAAGCTGCTTCTGTATCTTCATTATAAAACCAGAGTTTGGTTCCCTTTAGCATTTTTCCCAGCAAAGCACAACAGTAAACATTGCCCTGCTTATTAGAAGAAAGAAAGAGTGACAGAGACAGACAGAGAGAGAGAGAGAGAAAGAAAGAAAGAAAGAAAGAAAGAAAGAAAGAAAGAAAGAAAGAAAGAAAGAAAGAAAAAAGAAAGAGAAAGAAAGAAAGAGAAAGAAAGAAAAAGAAAGAAAAGAAAGAAAGAAAGAAAGAGAAAGAGAGAAAGAGAAAGGAAAGGAAAGGAGGGAAGGAAGGAAGGAAAGAAAAAGAAGGAAAGAAAGAAAGAAAAAGAAAGAAAGAAAGGAAGGAAGAAAAAAAGAAAAAGAAAGAAAGAAAAAGAAAGAAAAGAAAGAAAGAAAGAAAGAAAGAAAGAAAGAAAGAAAGAAAGAAAGAAAGAAAGAAAGAAAGAAAGAAAGAAAGAAAGAAAGGAAGGAAGGAAGGGAGGGAGGGAGGGAGGGAGGGAGGGAGGGAAGAAAATAACAGAAAAGAAAGGTTTTCAAGAGAAAATCTAGAATGGTGACTGAAAGAATTACCAGTCCAGCATTAATTAGAATGTGGCTTTTAGACCTGAGGCACACACTAGCTGTGACTGATCCTCATCTTAACCCAGGAACTGCAGCATGACTGACGTTTTGGTTGAGATCATTTTTGGTGATGGAGACTCTCCTGTGCGTTACAGAATGTTTAGCAGCATCCCTGGCCTCTACCCAGGATGCTAGTAGCACCCTACACTCCTCAACCCTTGAGACAACCAAAAATATCTCCAGACATTGCCCTGGCATGCAAATTCACCTTTTGTTGAGCACCAGTGTCTTAAGCCCTAGTGAAACCTAGTGAAACATCTGTAAAGTCAAACTAATGAGAGTAGAGAGCTGCTGTTGTTGGTATACGGTGAAATAATGCATTTGAAAGGTCAGTCTGCAATATAAATATAAGGCATTATTATTTTATAGACACATTTCTTTATTCACATATTGAACTTAAGATATCTTCATGGGGAGCTGGGGACTCAGCAGGTCTCAGCTGACAGAATACGATGAGACTGTTTAGGAGAAATGTATCCCCTTTTCAACTGTAATATCAAGAGTTAAGAATTTACAGACACATCAATGTTTTAAACCCCCGCATAACAAGTTAATGAAAGGATTCAGGTGCTGAACAGGAATTTGATCCAAATGACCATTGAAGTTGGTTTCAACTTTGAAGATCCTTTGAAAATAAGAAAATTAGAGTGGGATTAATATTTCTAGAATAATCAATATCCATTTTCTAGAAGCATATTAATCTCCATTTATTGAAATGAAATTCATTTCCCTAGAAGTGGTTAAGTTCTCTGGAGAATGGATACACTGTAGATGTGACCTTGGAAGCAAACTGCTCAAAACGAAACTGTATTTTCTAGGTGTTCTTCTTGAAAGACAACACTCTATACCTCTAAGAAACGGGAAGGGGATTGGGAGGCATGGCTTTGGAGCAGACAGCTCAGAGAATGGATGCTAAGGTGTTCCAATCGAGGTCAAAGCCTATGATCTGGTGTAGCTAAATGGACAAAATAAATGTGAGGTCAAGTTCATGCACAGCAGGGATGAGTACAGTATAGAGGCAGAAATGAATGGATATTCCTGTTAGGGAATACTGACTCTAAATCTTTATACATTTTGCTGGTACTTATCACTTCTAACACTCTAAGGAACTCAGAGAAGCTAGAAGATTTTCCTGGCATTTTCTGTAGTCATTCATTTTGAAAATAATATGAACAAAAATATCTATGTTCAAAAAGAGATCCTTTGCATTCAATTCTGTTCTTTTATTATTTCTTTCACATTAAAAAAATGAAGGTTGCAGAATGCAATTGTTTGTTTGTGCAAGCCACTTTTGCATAACGCCAAGCAAACACTTACAAAAGAATCAGTTGTACAAACAAAATGAGCTAAGAGAAATGATGATAAGAGTTATCTTGTTGCAGCTAGTGATTCAAGTAGAATAAAAACAGTCTGTGGCACTGGGAAATTGAGGGCATAGACATGAAGGAAATCAGCTGAGAAAAGGTGACCTGGATTTGGGGTTTACTTAACTCCTGTAAATGGGATATTAACAGATAAATCGAAGATTTGGAGCAATGACACAATATCTAACACTTAAAAGATTTTTTTCCTTCATTTTGATCCTATGTTAAGCGTCTCAAGAAATATTTACATCACCTGCTGCAGCATCTATGGTAAATGTACAATTGTATTGCATATTTTAAAACAACTTTAGTTTCTTTTGATTGACAACATTAGAGAAGAAAAAGAATATTATTTCAGAGTGTCTGGTCCTTTAAATTTTGGCAGATAAAGAAAACTTCCATGAAATAGAAGACATTTTTCCTCTTGGGTTTAAACCTCTAGTAAAATGTTGCTGACAGGCTAATTATAAATGTTTTATATATTTCGTGCATATGTGTTCCTCTCTAAACCAATTTAATTCCCATTAACGCTAATCTTGTTAATACCCACTCAGAGAGGAAAGGAATACTCTTAATAAACTATTGATTTATTTGAGTGATTTAAATGGGGGATGGGCAGACACAGACGAGAGAAGAGGAAGAGCCACCATTTTCCCACAAATGAATTTCCTAGAATATTTCTCCAAATATTACCGAACATTAGGTTATAAATGGTATAATAGGAAGGGGGGAGGATAAAGTGACGAAGTGATCATCTTCCATCCATGAAAAATAAAAACGTTGAAAACTAATTGCTAATTAATTCTTTTAGAGTACTAGCTCCAAAGTTAGAAGCGAGATACTACAAAGAAAGGTAGATTTTCTCTCTTTAAAAAGAGGTAAACCAAAAACACACACGAGACTCATACTTGTAAGCGCTAATTGAAATCTGTTTTTCTTTTTTTTTAAAGTCAGTTAAACCAACAAATGGGTAAGTTATGTTCCTAACACATCTTGTGCTACCCCTGGCATGGCTGGCCACCTTGTCCTCCGTGTAAGAATCCAATAATTCCTCTCCAATTCAATCAAGCATCCGTCAGTCAAGATTTCCATATCTCAGGCTATTTTTAGTAGCCAAGAGGTAAGACTGCTCTTAAGAGAGGTTGTGTCCAGGTCTGAGTAGTTTTCTTGAACACAACTATGTAATGAAACTGGGTGCCATGGAACTTAGAAAACAAGAAAACACCCTTTCTGTCCCTTTTCAGATCATCTGAAAACTAGCTAACCATTTCTAAAGGTGCAGATATCTTCCTTCCCATTCTCCCTGGAAAAAGTGGCATAAAATACGGAACAAGTGGAAGACGGAATTTTGTCCAGGGTCCACCATTTAGCCTTTAGATACATCATTTCGCCTCCCAGAGACTCAGTTTTCCTTTCTGTAATGTGGGGATAATAATCTTTACTTACTGTGCTCTTATACGACAGAGCAAGATTTTTAAAAGTATTTTAATGATCAAAAACGTGTATTTGAAAGCACTATGAAAACTGTGAAGTGGGGTACAAACATGATAATACTAACTGGGAAATAATTTAAGAAAAAGTGGCACAGGAAAAAGGGAGAAAAATATAAGGATAGATATCAATTTTATCAGGGTCTTGTATTAAAAAGAGAGAGATGTTTATCCTCAAGATTTTCTGAAAACTTTTAATGACAACTGATGCTTATACTTTATGACTGGGTACATAGAACATAAAATAAAAACTGAACATTGAAAGCGTTTAGACAAGTGAACTTTTCCTTTTCTATTGACCCACGTGTTTGGTGTTGGTTATCCATTAAGATGGGGCTGGAGTGAGAACAATCTCTTAACATTCATTGAAAAAAATACTGAAACATATTTTCAGCACAAATATTAAACTGTCTCTTCTCTACCGATTGGTAAAAAAATATATTATATTTTGATTTTTTTTTTTTCTTTTTAAATTATATGGTTATCCATCCCAGCCAAAGTCGTGCCCGGTCATCTGGTAGAACTTGAGGTTGAAAGGCCGGTAGAACTCGCGCAGCCTGCGCACCACCTCGCGGTCGATCTCAGGGTGGGTCCTGCCCTTGGTCTTGCCCAGGCAGTGGGGCCGGCTGCTGCCCTCCGCCTTCTTCAGGCAGGGGAAGCCCTTGGTCTTGTTGAAGTAGAAGTGCTTGTCCGTGATGATCCGCTTGAGGCCCAGGAAGTCCTGCACGCGGCCCAGCTCGCCGGCCGGGTCGCTGATGAGCCGCTCGCCGCTCACGAAGAGCATCTGGCGGATGGGGAAGTGGCGCAGCCAGTGCTCCAGGTGCTTGGCGTAGATGCCGATCTGGATGGCGCTCCACGACGTGTCGATGAGGCCCGTCGTCCTGTTTTTGAACGTCAAGCTCTCGAAGGTGGGGATGTCGGGCCGCTTGGACAGCGTCTGTGTGTAGTCCGAGATGGCCCTGGTCACCGGGTCCCGCACCACCACGATGAGCTTGGTGCCCTTGGACATGGCCGAGATGCGCGCGGGCGCCTCCCGCGTGACGAAGTAACTGGGCGTCTTCTCCATGGTGATCTGCCCGTCCAGGGTTCTGGGCATCAGGTCCCTGAGAAAAGCAAAAAGGCACGTCAGAGATGTGCATAGAGAGCTCAGTCCCAGGAAAGACTGTGAAGTACACACTGGAGCCAGGCAGCAATTCCAGCTCCCCATCCCCCGCCCACTTGCTAGATGTCTGATGATGGCACAACGAGTTCCGCACCTCAGATTCCTCGTGTATTGAGCAGAGAATAATAGTATTACCCATCGCGTACAGTTTTGTGATGATTAAACGAGTTAATATACCTGAACAGCTTAGAAAAGTGCCTGGCACCGAATAAATGCCATGTTAAGTTTCTGTGTTTTATTGTTGTTTATCCACAGTGCTGTAAGAAAATAACCTTGGTCAAAATCTTCAGGTGAATTAGAATATTGTCATCAACACAATTATACTGTTATGAGATAGTATTAAAATATCCTGAGTCCTTCCTGTAGTTTTCTTATAAACAAAGCAATTATATTCAACATCACGTAGCATATTACACAAAATACTTCCGTTTGTAATGCCTGAGTTTTGCAGGCACAAACAAGACTTATTAAAGAATCCATCTTTTGCCTAATGATTTGAAATGCCATCATTATCATATTCTAAATATGTTGATTCCTTTCTACATTGGCCCAATTATAAGTTATTATCACGTGACAGCATATTTTCATGTACACCAGAGTACATTCTGACTTTCTATTGTTCAACTTGCCCTTGATGATTCTTGTCTGTTTATTCCTCCTGACAAATGAGATATCACTTTGTCACATTAAAAACAAAAACCCAGTTGGAGTCTTGATAAAGCAGATAGTGCTTCTCTATTCAAGCAGGGTTTCTACGGGCCTCGCCAGTCGAAACATATGAACAGGAGAGATTACATCTATTGGTTCTTCCAACTTAAATATACTGCAATTAAATGTACTATTTGTTGAGATAGATACAGACAGATGGATAGTCAGAGATCTTTAGTTATTTCATTTTGTAGTTTCGATTTCTCTTTTAATGTAGGCATTATCTAGGATTGTATTATATCTTTAATTCTGATGATAGATTTGTTACTTTTGTTCACGGAATTTGTGGTTCGTTTTTATTTTGCACCTGCAGGGAAAGGATACACTTTGTGCCATGGGAGCTTGCAGTTATTAATTCCCTGTGATTTTTGTCCCAGCTACACCATCTGGGCTAACTACATTTTGTGAGACACGTCAAACATACACAAAAGCAGAGAAAATTGTCAAATCCATCTCATACACCTCACATCCAGTTTCAAAACTTCAGGATGGCCAATTTTATTTCTAAATCCCTTCATTTCTGCTGCCCCACCAGGCCAGCTGGATTATTTTAAAGTCATTCACAAACATCCTATCAATGGATTAATAAGTATTCCTGCTCCCATCTGCATTATTTCTGGCACAAATTCCTCAGTCTCTTGGGCAATCTGATGGCCCTGATAGTCCCTTAGTTTTAATGATGCAGGTACTGGGACTCAGAAAACAATACTCCAAAATGAAGGCCTCAAAAGCAGCCTCAGAAGCAGAAGTGTTTCTCTGAACTTCTCCTGCCCCTCTGTCTTTCAGGCCTATTCTTACCCAAGACTCACCATAGAAACTAAAATCCCTCTCCCTCAAGGCAGATCATAGAAACCGGAACTCCTTTTCCCCAAAGCCAGCCATAATCCTAAAAACATTACCCTAACTTTCCTTCCACTTTTCTGTATAAAAATTGGCCATAAAGAAATTATCTGACCTATGCTGTTTGACTGTAGGTCATAAGACCTTCATTCCTGAGACGGTCCTGCCCCACACCTGAAAGGAAGGAAGGCGTGCTCAGAGAGGCCAAGAAGAATCTAGACAGAGAGGCCTTGTGGGCTTCCCCCACTGGGTCTATTTGGGTTAGATCATACCCTTTTTGTCCAATCATATTTCTATACAACTGTTCATATTTAGCTAAGCCCAAGCATAAAAATGGACAATTTCCTCTGTATCTTTAGGTCTTCCCTCTGAAGGCTCTTGCATACGCAGTAATAAAAGTGTATGCCTTTTCTCCTATGAATCTGCCTCTCATCAGTGATTTTCAGCAACCCTTCAGGAGTTGAAGGGGAAGTTTTCCCTTAGCCCATACTCAGGTTTCCTCCCATTTTTGGGGGGAGGGGGGTTTATTTTTGTCATTTCAGTCAGGTTAGCTTACTTTTTATAGGTATTTGCTTTCTGCTTCTGAGCTTTTAATTTTTGAAATAAATGTGAACTTCCTTTTTCAAAATAACTCTTAAGGTACCTCATTACCCACCTCCTAGACAGACCTTAAGGTCTGGGTAAGAGTAAGTGAAGACCAGATAGTTTGGTGTTGACACAAAGGAGACACACATTGGCATAACCATCTATGCGACCCAGATTCCGTGGTGTGAATGCATATAACTCATTGCTCTGTGACTCCTTTTATGGAACTGAAAAGTTGGCTAGGCCAACCTAATATAAAAGCTTACGTTACTCTTGTCTAAGGTGAGCCAGGAGATTTATCCAGAGATGGTTGGAATTTCTCAGTAAAGGAAATTTAATCAAACGTGTGAAAAAGTTTTGGGCTTGAAAAGCAACCATCAACTACATAGAAGTGATAAGAAAGAGTATTTATAGATTTTTTTTGAAAAAGCCAGCATTCCTGTCTCTTTTTTTTTCTACATATCTTTGACGTTTAACTACTTGATTTCAAATTTTGACCAGTAAAATAGAGAGAGCATAATACTTCACTTGGGAGCTCCTGGTTGGCCTCCTGGGGAAGGGGTTGGGTGTATGGGTGTGGTTGGGGTGGGCAAGAGCTGCAGGAGACTTTGCAGAGATTGAGGCTATAGATTGTGCTGGGCCAGAGGAAACACTGCTAAAACCACTAAAAAAAGGAACCGTAGTTTAAATAATCTCAATAGAGTAGGGAAAAGAGCTATCCAACATACGAGGAGTTTGAAGAAGAAACAGCTAAAATCGGATTGCAAAAGAAAAACACATTCATTACTGTCATTGGCAGGGTGAGGAAAACTGACTGATGTAGCACGGGGTGGGTGTGGAGAGTCGGGTTTAACTATAAGCTACCTGCAAGCTTCTTTCTGCAAAAATAAAGAAACGATAGTCTAAATAAATCCTAATCAAGCTTACATTGTAGAAAATGGTTGCTTTGTGACAGGACTCACAACAGAATTCTTTAAATTGCAATCTTTAAATCTTTTTTTTCAAAAAATTCAATAAAAGGGATAAACTTTTTTTTTTGAAAAAAGTCAATGAAGGGGATACTTTTTTTCATACATTTTCTTATTGCAAATTTTACTGCATTTTAATGTTCAACAAAGCACCACACTAGCATATAAAACAAAAGGCTTATGTATGTTGGAATACTGCATTTCAAAGTGTCTAGAACTTGGAAATCTTTCTTCTTTACCACAGTAAGGTACATATTAGGTTGGTGCAAAAGTAACTGTGGCTTTTGCAATGATTGCCAAAACCACAATTACTTTTGCACCAACCTAATACTTTTAATGGCAACACCTACAATTACTTTTGCACCAACCTAATACTATGACTGTGCTTTGTGTAAAAGCTGGGGCCCGGGATGGGTAGTGAAAGACCTATTACAGTATTACAAAAGGTCTATAGAAATACCAGGCAGGCTATGGGAGCACGAAGGTGTGTGCACTGAGAAATCACATGAGGTTTGCCTGAAGACAGAACAGGTGAGGAAGGATGGGAGAAATTCAACTGGATGATGGGAGGCATAGGTCCTAGGAGAACTTACTTTCCAAGCTACGTAGTGTAGACCATTCCAACCTCCCCTCTAAATAGTGAGTAGAATTTGGAAACATTTACAGTAGGTATAAGGATGAGGAAATGGGTTGAGACCAACACTGTAAGGAAAAAAATATAGAAGTGTATTTGTTTTGTCCTGAGGGAGGCAAAGATAAGCAGAAATTTCACAAGCAAATTAAGAATTATTGCAAGGCAGATTATACACAGTTACTCTTCTTCCCATAGAACTCAAAGAGAATTCACAATAGCCAAAGGGCGGAAGCAACCCGAGTGTCTATTGACAGATGAGTTAATAAACAAAATGTGGTTTATGCATACAATGGAATATTATTCAGAAATTCTGACACACACTCCAACCTGGATGAACCTTGGGGACATTATGCCAAGTGAAATAATCCAGTCACAAAAAGACAAATGCTGTATGAGTTCACTTATATGATATATCTGGGGTACTCAAATTCATTGAGACAGCAAGTAGAATGGTGGTTTCCAGAGGCTGTAGGGAAGAGGAACAGAGAGTTACTGTTCAGTAGGTATGAAGTTTCGGTGTTATAAGATTAAAAGAGTTCTCGAGGTTGATCACATAGCAACATGTATGTACTTAACACTACTGAACCTAACGATGGTTAAAATGGTAAATTTTATGTTATGTGTATTTTATTACAATTTTTTAAAAAAGAACTTAAGGAAGAACAAGCATTTCAGTGGCATTGATAGAAATTAGTTAGACAAAAGAGTCTTTTTGCTTTATGGTTAATTAAACATTAGAACAAGGTACCGCTGAAGGAGATTCTGGTTTTGTTAAAAGGGAAATATAATTTATGAGATTTTTGTGCAGCTGATCTCGAATCAAAAAATGAGGTTTGTGGTCCATGCCCACTGCTTGCTGCATGATCACGAGATAGTAATTTAGCATCTCTATGTTCAGTTTATTCACCTTACCAGAAAAATCAAGTCAAAGGTTCAAAATTCCTGGACTGTAATGAAGTGTCAACACGGCCATTATTACTGTAGGGAATAGAGGGAAGCACTCTTTTTAAGAATGTGACACCCAGTGTTCTGAATTCCCAACTTCAGGGAGAATTCCACTTAGTCCAGCTAACAAAGGGTTCAGCGAGTTAGAGCTCTTTGCCATATTCCTGACACACCTGCCCATTTGTCATTCAGACAGTGAGGATGCCTGGTTTGAAGACCGTGAGCTGGCTACATTATTTGGAAGGGCAGAGCCTGGCTTAT